GCTCACCGCAACCTCCACCTCCCGGGTTCAGGCAATTCTCCTGCCTCAGCCTCCTGAGTAGCTGGGATTACAGGCACGTGCCACCATGCCCAGCTAATTATTTGTATTTTTAGTAGAGACGGGGTTTCACCATGTTGACCAGGATAGTCTCGATCTCTTGACCTCGTGATCCACCCGCCTCGGCCTCCCAAAGTGCTGGGATTACAGGCTTGAGCCACCGCGCCCGGCCCCTATTTTATCCTATTCTTTGGGTTGTCTTTTTATTTTCTTGATGGCATGATTTGAAGCAGAAAAGTTTTCAATTTTGAGTCCAACTTATCTGTTTATCTTTTGTTTCTTATGTTATTGATACTTTATTTATTTTTATTTTTTATTTTTTGAGACAGAGTCCTACTTTGTCACTCAGGCTGGAGTGCAGTGGTGTGATCACAGCCCATTGCAGTATAGGCTCAACCTCCAGGGCTCAAGCAGTCTTCCTACCCCAGCCTTGCAAGTAGGTGGACTACAGGTGCATGACACCACATCCAGCTAATTTTTGTATTTTTTATTTTATTTTATTCATTTTTTGAGATGGAGTTTCACTCTTGTTGCCCAGGCTGGAGTGCAATGGCACAATCTCGGCTTACCACAACCTCTGCCTCCCGGGTTCAAGCGATTCTCCTGCCTCAGCCTCCCAAGTAGCTGGGATTACAGGCATGCACCACCACACCCCACTAATTTTATATTTTTTGCAGAGATGGGGTTTCACATGTTGCTCAGGCTGGCTTGAACTACTGGGCTCAAGTAATCTGCCCACCTTGGCCTCCCAAAGTGCTGGGATGACAGGTGTGAGCCACAGTGCCCAGCCAATTATGTTATTGTATTAAAATTTAACAAATACCTCTGGAACTAATTTTATTCTTTATTTTCTGCTAATATTAAGCAGATTTGAGCAATGCTGTGTACAGTGAGATGTTTGTTGGTTCAGACGACTTTGATTTCTTTCAAATTGGAATGGACACTGAGATAACGTTTTGCTTCAAAGAATTGAAGGTAAATAAAGATTTACATCAAATTAAAATTGAAATTTTCACTGAAAGTTTATATAAGGATTCCAAGTTTTTTTCTTCTTTTCTTTTTTCAGGGAATACTGACATTTTCAGAAGCGACACATGCTCCTATATCCATTTATTTTGATTTTCCCGGGAAGTAGGTCTTTGAGAATTTTTCTGAGTTTGTTTCTTTCTTTTATTTTATATCAATAACAAAACCCTTTGGATCACTTTGAAATTAATACCTCAGGGATACCTTAACTTTACTATTAATGCTTATCAAACTAAAAGTTTGAAAGATGCTAGAACATGACATTTTAATTTTACTTTTTATTTTTTTAGACGGAGTTTTACTCTGTCTTCCAGGCTGGAATGCAGTGGCACGATCTTGGCTCACTGTGATCTCCATCCCCCAGGTTCAAGCAATTCTCCTGCCTCAGCCTCCCAAGTAGCTGAGATTACAGGCACCTACCACCATGCCTGGCTAATGTTTATATTTTTGGTAGAGGCAGGGTTTCACCATGTTGGCCAGGCTGGCCTTGAACTCCTGACCTCAAGTGATCTGCCCACCTTGGCCCCCCAAAGTGCTGGGATTACAGGTGTGAGCCATCATACCTGGCCAACATGGCATTTTTTAATTGGTAACTTGATTGAGAAAGATATATTCATCTACAAAGTGAAACATTTATAAATTTGACATGGTACTGAATACATTGCCTAATTACAAAATTATACATAGCATAAACAAGTTAGATCTCTAGGAAACTATGATATTTATTATAATAGTTCAGAACTAAAATTTCAAATGAGATTAGGTTGTGTTTTATGAAATTGAATCTGATTATTTCTAAGGGTCCTTTCAGCTCTCAGGACTGTGGCAATTTGTGTAAACACAAAAAGAATATTTACTTCTACTGTTTCTTTTTACTCCAAAATTAAGGATCATTTCTATTGTGTTCCTAATGTTCATCAGAACATAAGTGTCACTGTTGCTCTGACTTTGCTTTTTTAGACCTCTGGCTTTAAGTATTGATGATATGTTAGTGGAAGCTAACTTTATTTTGGCCACATTAGCTGATGAGCCAAGTAGAGCGTCTTCACCACAGTCACTGTGTCTTTCACAGAAACAAAAAAGGTAAGAGTGTGCTTTAACTTCTTTATTGATTGGGACAAGCCATCATAATCTTATTCTGAAATAATTCACTGGCATTCCCTTAGGAAACAATTGAGGAGTGAAATATTAGATCAGAAATTTTGACTGAATACAGAAGAGCTATAGTGAAACTTACCTGTAGCATAGAAACATCATCAGTCTTGTGTCGGATATTTGCTTTTTCTGTTCTGACTAGAACTGAACAAGACTGACTGTCTGGTTTATCTGTGTTTGTTTTCCAAAACTCAATTCCAATTTTTAGGGTTTCTTGTTGTTGTTGTTGTTGTTGTTTTAGAAAGGGTCTCACTTCCATTGCCTAGGCTTGAGTGCTGTGGCACAATCTCGAGTCACTGCAGCTTCCATTTCCCTGGCTCAAGTGATCCTCCCACCTCAGCCTTCCAAGTAGCTGGGACTGTAGGCCTGTGACACCATACCCGGCTAATTTTTTGTATTTTTTTTTTTTTTTTTTTGTAGAGACGGGGTTTCGCCATGTTGCCCAGGCTGGTCTCAAATCCCTGGGCTCAAGCCATCTGCCTGCCTCAGCCTTCCAAAGTGCTGGGATTATGGATGTGAGTCACCACACTGGGGCTTTAGTTGTTTATTTTTTATTTTTTTTAGGAGTAGTGCAGTGTTTTCACAGGTAAGTCTATTCACTTCCTTAGAATTTTTACTCAGATATAGGGATAGCCATTGTTTTCTTTCTTTTAATTTTCCTTCTTAATAACTTTTCGGGGAAGAAGGATGCTTTATTGTAAAAGTTATTTTGGGAAATTTGTAAAATAGAGAAAAATACACAGAAGAAAATAAAACTTACTCATAATTGCACCACCCAGAGATAGCCACTGTTAACATTCTGGCTCACTGATTTTCTTTTACACTTTCAATTTTATGTATACTTTATTTTTATTTATTATTACTTTTTTTGAGACAGGGTCTCACTCTGTCACCCAGGCTGGAGTGCAGTAGCATAATCATGGCTCACCATAGTCTCGACCTCCTAGGCTCAAGTCTTCTACCTCGGCCTCCTGAGTAATTAGGTGTACAGGTGCCTGCCACTAAGGCTAGCTAATTTTTGTGTTTTTTGTAGAGATGGGGTTTCACCATGTTGCCCAGGCTGGTCTCTAACTCCTGGGGTCAAGCAATCTGCCTGCCTCGGCCTCCCAGAGTGCTAGGATTATAGATGTGAGCCACTGTGCCTGGCCTATACTTGTATTTTAAAACACGATTGGGATCATATAGCGTATGCAGTTTTAGTATTGTGTGCATGTTTCAATATCACCGATTATGACTTGAAATGATTTTTTTTTTTTTTTTGAGATGGTCTTGCTCTGTCACCCAGGCTGGAGTTCAGTGTCTTGATCTTGGCTTACTGCAACCTCCGGCTTCTGGGTTCAAGCAATTCCCTGGCTCAGACTCCCAAGTAGTTGATACTACAGGCGCCCGCCACCACACCCAGCTAATTTTTTTTTTAATTGCATTTTAGGTTTTGTGGTACATGTGAAGAACATGCAAGATTGTTGCATAGGTACACATATGGCAGTGTGATTTGCTGCCTTCCTCCCCTTCACCTATATCTGGCATTTCTCCCCATGCTATCTCTCTCCAACTCCCGTTTTTTTTAAGAAGGAGTCTGGCTCTGCCACCCAGGCTGGAGTGCAATGGCGCAATCTTGGCTCACTGGAACTTCCGCCTCCTGGGTTCAAGTGAGTCTCCTGCCTCAGCCTCCCAAGTAGCTGGGACTACAGGCGCTTGCCACCATGCCTGGCTAGTTTTTTGTATTTTTAGCAGAGTTGGGGTTTCACTGTGTTAGCCAGGATGGTCTCAATCTCCTGATCTCATGATGTGCCCACCTCAGCCTCCCAAAGTGCTGGGATTACAGGCTTGAGCCACCTTGCCCGGCCATTTTTTTTTTTTTAGTGAAGGCGGGGTTTCATCATCTTGTCCAGGCTAGTCTTGAACTCCTGACCTCATGATTCACCCGCCTTGGACTCCCAAAGTGTTGGGATTATAAGCGTGAGCCACTGCGCTTGGCCAAAAACATGATTCTTAATGACTACACACATTTTATCATATAGATGTATAGTAATTTACTTGACTTTTTCCCTAACTTACTCCTGTCACCGTATCACAAGATATTCTATGCACAGTGAGTTGCTTTACTGAAAGGTTCGCCTATCAAGAGAATTTATAAATGATCATACATATAAATTTTAACATTCAACAATTTAGTTTTACGTATTTCAATATATTCCCTAACCCAGTGCTATCACTGTCATCCCACGTTGTCCATTAGTTACATAAAAATATATTTCACAGTAAACAGTTCATTCATTTAGTGTCTATTAATACCTCAGGTCAGATCTGATTAAAAAAAAGGCTGGTAAAAATGCAACTGGCCAGACCCTGGAATGTATATCAAGAAAAGCAGCACCAAGAAGGATTTATCCTAAGGAGACTCTCACAAACATCTCTGCACTGGAAAACTGTGGCGACCCTGGAATGAAAAGAGCAAATGGAGACATCAGTGAAGTATCAGAAAGCAGTGTCAGCAACACAGAGGAAGTGCCAGGGTCTCTGTGTCTCAGAAAGGTAAAAGAAAAGCATTGAGATTGAACCACATCTCAGTCAAGAATTCTCATCTGTCTCCCAATGCAGTCTTCCTTTCAAATCCCCACCTGGCCATGTTCTGAAAATTGATTTTTTTTTTTTTTTTTTTTTTTTTTTTGTTTTGGTGTTTCCCTCTTGTTGCCCAGGCTGGAGTGCAATGGTGTGGTCTTGGCTCACCACAACCTCCACCTCCCTAGTTCAAGCGATTCTCCTGCCTCAGCCTCCTGAGTAACTGGGACTACAGGTGTGTGCCACTACGCCCAGCTAATTTTTTTCTATTTTTTAAAACTTTTTTACTGAGCACAAATTTTCCTGAATATTTTTGTTTTTTCAGTAGAGACAGGGTTTCACTGTGTTAGCCAGGATGGTCTTGATCTCCTGACCTTGTACGTGATCCACCCGCCTCAGCCTCCCAAAGTGCTAGGATTACAGGCGTGAGCCACTGCACCCAGCGTAGTTTTTCTTATTTTTTAATAAGGGAAAAGTGGAACTAGTCTGAATTACAGAATAAAGAAAAGTCTGATAGAGAAAGCCTGATTTACAGAATATCAACAGAAAATAGTTAAATTGTTCAGTCAGTAATTTCTAACAAAGCATATTCAAGTAGAGATTTCAGTCCCATCAGAAGGGCACATTACAGGCAAAAAAAAAAGAAAGAAAAACAAAGAGATTTGAGTCCCTTGTTTCCAAGAATAAATTATCATTGTTTATAGTATATTCTATCTTTGAATAACAATAATATGCTGAGGTCATATAAATAATTTGTTTCCTAAAATAAGTTTCCCTGTAATTTTATTTTTCAAATTTGGTTGGTAAATCTTATATTCATAATAGTACAAATATAAATTTCATCCCAACAAATATTACAAATTCCTTCATGATGGAGTCCCAGTTAATAACATCTTATTCTATAAGATAGATAATAAGCTTCACAGAATGCTGTAGTGTTAAACCTAATGAAATCTACTGAGCTGAAGGTAAGCAATGTATTAGAAACTGAAGTATCTCAAATATTGATAATTCTAATTGTACTTGTTAGTGTTTTGTTTAAGCTCGTTTTGCTGTTATTATTGGTTTGAAAATATGAGTTTCTTAGTTAGAATTAGAAATTTGAAAGTAGAAATAATATTTTTGAAAGTCACCATCACCATCTTGGCTGGGTACAGTGGCTCACGCCTGTAACCCCAGCCCTTTGGAAGGCCAAAGAGGAAAGATCTCTTGAGGCCAGGAGTTCAAGACCAGCCTGAGCAACAGAGTGAGAGCCCATCTCTACAAAAATTTTAAAATTAGCCAGATGTGGCGGCTGTAGTCCTGGCTGCTGAGGAGGTTGAAGTGGGAGGATCTCTTGAGCCCAGTAGTTCAAGGCTGTAGTGAGCTAAGATCACACAACTGGACTCCAGCCCAGGCAACAGAGTAAAACCCTGTCTCTTAAAAAAAAAAATTCACCCAGCCGGGCGCGGTGGCTCAAGCCTGTAATCCCAGCACTTTGGGAGGCCGAGGCGGGTGGATCACGAGGTCAAGAGATCGAGACCATCCTGGTCAACATGGTGAAACCCCGTCTCTACTAAAAATACAAAAAATTAGCTGGGCATGGTGGTGCGTGCCTGTAATCCCAGCGACTCAGGAGGCTGGGGCAGGAGAATTGCCTGAACCCGGGAGGCGGAGGTTGCGGTGAGCCGAGATCGCTCCATTGCACTCCAGCCTGGGTAACAAGAGCGAAACTCCGTCTCAAAAAAAAAAAAAAAAATTCACCCTATTACACTGTATATGACTTTTAGGGCAGAATTTGATTAGTAAACTGGATGTAACCCATTTGATACCATAGGTATTTATTGAGTATTTATATGCCCAATACTTAGGGCAATTTTCTCTTCCTGTGTGTTACTAAGTTGGCCATAAAGTGAAAACACAGATTTTACTGTGTTCTCATTGTACAAAAGCATTGTCCTCTCCTATTTTTCTGGTCACACATATTCAGCTTACTTTTTCACAGGCAACAACAGAAATCATTTTCCTGCTGCTTCATGTCCCTGAAATTCATTAAGATGGCCAGTTTCTTTGCTAGATAAAATGACATTTAGAACTTTAAGCTCCATGAGCACCATTGCAGCACTCTACTCCAAATTTCCTATTGTGTCACTAAATTCTGGAAAGAAGGCTCTATTTTAAAAGGGAATTATTTGCTTTAATGTGGCAAACTCCTGCAAAGGTGAAATTACATTATGGATAAATGATGTAAACCCTTACCATGTTCCACCTGAACTTCGATGGGCTTCTGTTCGTCCTCTGTGCTCTATTCTCCTTCACCCTGCTTCTCCTCCACAGTGTACTTATAGATTTTGTCCAAACCCTAGGTCTACAATGAGGCCCAGAGTTTTAGAGCTCTGGCTCTAGGGTTCACATTCGGAGGTTCAAACCTCTCTCTTACCACACATTAACTGTGTGACTTGGACAAGTTATTTATTTTTCCCTCAGTTTCCTTAGTAAAATGGGGGTAATAAATATATCCACTAAATAGGATTGTAAAAATTGAGCTTATGATGTAACAGGCACATGGTCAGTGCTTGATAAAAGTTAGTTATTGACCGGACATGCCTGTAATCCCAGCACTTTGGGAGGCTGAGGTGGATAGATCATGAGGTCAGGAGTTTGAGACCAGCCTGGCCAAGATATTGAAACCTGTCTCTACTAAAAATACAAAAATTAGCTGAGTGTGGTGGTGGGCACCTGTAATCCTAGCTACTCAGGCGGCTGAGGCAGGAGAATTGCTTGAACCCAGGAGGTAGAGGTTGTAGTGAGCCAAGATCGCACCACTGCACTCTAGCCTGGGCAACAGAGCAAGACTCTGTCTCAAAAAATAAATAAATAAAAAACTATTATTATTATATATCATTCTCTTGCTTTTAAAACTCTTAGATTGTTACGCTTCTCCCATAGGATTAAGCCTAAACTCCCTAGAATGACATGCAGGGACTAGGCTATTTAATATAGTCTTTACCTGGCTTCCTCCTTTTATCCTCACTTCCCCCATACAAAATTTACCCTATGCCAAAAATGGCAGATAGATTTCATCTCTAGTAGCCACACCAATCATTTGGCTGGGCAAGCTAAGTTGAGAATGACTCCAAAGCTCTAACTCTGTTCCATTAGCAGGGTTTGCCATGATCTAGACTAAAGCTATAGCTGTATTATGCTAATAACATTATTTTAATATGGCCTGCCCTATTTGTGTAATCATTTGTTTGTTAACTTTTCCTTTTAAAATAAGTTCAGATTTTTAAAAAGCTGCAAAAATAGTACAAAGAATTTCTATATGCCCTTCTTCTAGACTCTCCACATTTAATATTCCTTTTTTCTTTTTTCAGATGGAGTCTTGCTCTGTTGCCCAGGCTGGAGTGCGGTGAAGTGATCTTGGCTCACTGCAACCTCCACCTCCTGGGTTCAAGTGATTCTCCTATCTCAGCCTCCCAAGTAGCTGGGATTATAGGTTCATGCCACCATATCAGGCTAATTTTTGTATTATTGGTAGAGACAGGGTTTCACCATGTTGGTCAGGCTGGTCTCAAACTTACTTGAGGTCTCAAGTAATTCATCCGCCTCAGCCTCCCAAAGTGCTGGGATTACAGGCATGAGCCACTGTGCCTGGCCTCCACATTTAATATTTGATATGACAGTACAATGATCATTTCATTGAACAAAAGTCAGAAAATACAAGTAAGAGAATCACATCAAATATTTTTCTGCCTTTAAGACTTCCTTTTTCCTCCTTTTTAATTTTTTTTTGGGGATGGTGTTTCACTCTTGTTGCCCAGGCTAGAGTGCAATAGCACAATCTTGGCTCACTGCAACCTCTGCCTCCCAGGTTCAAGCAATTCTCCTGCCTCAGTCTCCTGAGTAGCTGCGATTACAGGCTCCTGCCACCATACCTGGCTAATTTTTGTATTTTAAGTAGAGATGGGGTTTCACCATGTTGGCCAGACGGGTCTCTTCTTCTTTTATTATTTTTTTACACAGGGTCTCTGTCACCCAGGTAGAGTGTAGTGGTACAGTCTCGGGTCACTGCAACCCCTGCCTTCCAGGCTCAAGCCATCTTTCCACCTCAGCCTCCCAAGTAGCTGGAACTACAGGCATGTGCCATCACACCTAGCTAATTTTTTTGTGTAATTTTAGTACAGATGGGGTTTCACCATATTGTCAGGCTGATCTCTGAACTCCTGGGCTCAAACAGTAGGCCTGCCTTGGCCTCCCAAAGTATTGGAATTATAGGCATGAGCCCCCGAGCCCACCTACCTTTTTTTATTAAAAATATATTTACATGAACATTAAATTTTAATTAAAAAAATTTAAATCAGACTCACTTGTGAAAATAGTACAAAGAATTCCCATAGTAGCCAGATACCTCAAATGTTAACATCTTAGGTTAGCAGAGGCTCCTTTAATCTGGAACATTTTCTAAGTCTTGCCTTGTCTTTTCCTTTGTTTTTTTTTTTTTTTTTTTTTTTT